GGGGGGGGGGGGGGGGGGGGGCTCCAGTTATCTCACTCCTTCACTTCAAACACCCACAACTTCAACATCAACGATACTTTGTTTATCCTCCAACTGATCTAGCGAATCCGCTGGTCGATCGACACTTTTGACGAGTGAATTGACTCAATATTTTTTGCCCCCGAAATATGAAAGGAACTTCACTTTGAATGAAAGGTGCAAGTCCATGTTTTTGTTTGTTGTTCAGCACATTTTCACTGAAACCCAATTGTTGAGAGTAGAATAGAGTGAGTAGTCAGAAAATTGTAATGTTGTCGGAATAACTGTGGTCTCATTCAGTGGATTTTTAATGCTTCGGTGTATTCTCAGACTAAACTTGATTCTCTTCAAGTGTGACAACGTGCGTGTGGCTCTTAGCGAGAGAGGAGCCAGCGGCCGGCCGTCGTGTACCAGTCGCGACGACTCGCTGCCTGTTTCAACCAGTGCTTTTCGGCAAATCGGACAACACACACACACACACACACACACATTTGTATGGATGGTGTGCATGTACCAACACATGTGGAGGGAACAGTTAGCTTGGGGGGGAAAGCTTACGAGGCCGCGCCGGTGTCTCTCATTGGTCGATAAACCGACTTACGTCAGTCGTTACTCGTCCAATCAGAGGCACCAAGTACCAACTCAACGTCTGTTTTGCCTCCGCGAGTGCGCGATACACCAACGCTCTCCTCTACCCACACATTTTATCGTTTTATGTAGTTGCTTTTTTTTTTCTTCATCTCTCTTCGTTCTTTTGGCTCTGTCCGCTTGTCTCCCTTCTTCACCTCTTCGTTTTCACCCCCTGGGAGAGAAAACGGTATGTGTGACGCGAGCATGTTTCCCAGTTGATGCGGAGGGAGGAGGAAAATATGAGAGCTTTCTTGGGTGAATCGAATACACTTTTTTTCTTCTTCTTCTTCTGCTTCTGCGCCTCTTAAGATTCAACCCCTTGTCAGCTGAACTCTGTTGCATCACTGTTTTCGAATTGGTTGGGGGATTTTTCAATTAGGCTTTCATTCAGTTTTCGAGGCTCTTGTGCCATT